ATTTGCCAATTCCTGTTGGGCCTCATTCAAAGCCACCCTGGGCTGCCTGAGGCCCACGGTCTATGGGTTGGACAAGCTTGCCTTAAATGTTGAAGTCGCAAACCCTCCTGGCATGGCTCCACTGGTGAGGCACCTCGCTTTATACATGAAGCCAAGTATCAGGCCTCCATGTGCAGCTGCGGCCCAGAAACTCTGAAGCCTGCCTGGCTCCGCTGCCCACCCCAAATACCCATCTGGCTCGCCATCGTCCCTGACCGCCCAGCAGAGCTTCCCCCGGACATTCAGCTTCTCTCCCCACCCTGCCAACTCCTGTTTTAATAATGTGAATACTCCTCACCCCACCTGCCATCTTAACTGTTATAATACACAAATAACAAGTTTGTAAATATTAGTGAATACATTTCAGAGCAAGACTCCGTCTCTAAATAAATAAATAAATAAATAAATGCTATTTATTTATAGCATTTGCATCTAGAGGAGGCTTTTTTTTTTTTTAGACAAAGTCTCTGTCACCAGACTGGAGTGCAATGGCTCGATCTCAGGTCACTGCAACCTCCGCCTCCTGGGTTCAAGGGATTCTCCTGCCTCAGCCTCCCCGGTAACTGGGACTACAGGCGCATGCCAGCACGCCCAGCTAATGTTTTGTATTTTTAATAGAGACACGGTTTCACCATGTTAGCCAGGATGGTCTCCATCTACTGACCTCGTGATCTGCCTGCCTCAGCCTCCCAAAGTGCTGGGATTACAGGTGTGAGCCATCGAGCCCAGCTGAGAACGCTTTAAGTCTTAATTTCTTAGCCAATGGTGTAGTCACTAACTGTGTTTTCAAATTTAAAAATGCTACTGGTAAATTGTGACTGCTGACCTGGCACTAAAAATGTTTAAACTTACATATTTTTGTCCTAGGAAAATGCTGATACTTTTCTGATTATGGAACAGAGAAATGCGTATTCATTTCCTGCTTGTTATAAAGATCCACAGAAAGCTGGTATTAGATGGAAACTATTTTCAGGAGCCGTGACTGCTATTACTGCATAAGCCCATGGAATCGGGAGGCCACTCCCAAGTTCTATGACTGAGGAGCTGCCCCTCTTCTAAGTGGAGCTTTCCCTGCTGTTACATCCCTGTCCTGCCTTACAGCTCTCTGTTAAATGCCGGTCTTTTTCTTTTGCAGGGAAGAATGTGATTAAAGAGCTCTTGTCTGCATATTAGAAACTGGTCCTGACCAGACCTCTGAGGACTGCAGCAGCACATTGAAGTATTTTATAAATAATTTATGAACCTCAGAGGTCTGGTTTGAGGAGATATTCACCTTTTCTCCACCTGTGCACCACACCTCATTCATCAACAGCAATATCAGCACGTACAGTCCTGCTCCTGGATGGGTAAGGCTACACATTAAACAAACACAGAAGTAGAAGTGCACCCGTGGAGCTCTGCCGCCACAACAACACTTTCGGTAATTTGGGAGCAAACCGTGTTGACCATGAACGTTACACATAGAAAAGAAGTGTTGGAATTCCTTTTAATAAACGATAAATATTACCACAAAATGATAAAAATGGAAGGTGGTTTGAATGTTGGCAAAACTGGCTGAGAGCTTTAATTAGGACAGTATCTTCCCAGCGACTGCTCTAAAACCGTAACGTTTAGAATGCTCTGGGCACCGCATGTGGCCGGAGTAGCTGAGACTACGCGCCCGCCACCACGCCTGCTCATTTACGCATTTTATTCTCACGCATGTTGCATGAGACTTGTCCAAGCAATTTCCAGGATAACAGCCTCAAAAAATAAATTAAAAGTTGCACATGCATTATGTTTGCTTTTTCAATTATATAGGATTTAAAAGATTTTATGGCCAGATATATCGAGCAGAGCAAAAACTTTTAACAGAATACAGAGACTAAACAGAACCAATCTATTTATACATTATTCACAAATATTCCAAGTTCTTGCTTGTGTCATTTTGCTGTTCATAAAAAGACTAAATTATAACACAGTGTTAACAGAAAAACTTCAGTTGAATTAAACTTTTGGGTTTTTTGGAGACGGGGTTTCGCTTTTGTTGCCCAGGCTGGAGTGCAATGGTGCTATCTAAGTTCACTGCAACCTCTGCCTCATGGGGTTCAAGCAGTTCTCCTGCCTCAGCCTCCCAAGTAGCTGGGATTACAGATGTGCACCACCACACCTGACTAATTTTTGTATTTTTAGTAGAGATGGGAGTTTCACCATGTTGAATCAGGCTGCTCTTGAACTCCTAACCTCAGGTGATCCACCCGCCTCGGCCTCCCAAAGTGCTGGGATTATAGACATGAGCCACCGGGCCCTGCCAGCTGAATTAAATTTAAAGGAGTTTAATTGAGCAATAAAGGATTTGTGAATCAGCCCCAGAATCACAACAGATTCAGAGAGAGTCTGCACAGACACATGGTGGAAGAAGACTTATAGACGAAGAAAGGGAAATGATGCATGGAAATCAGAAGTGAGTTACAGAAACAGCTGGACGGGCTACAGGTTTGCCTTGCTGAAACACAGTTTGAACACTCAGCATTGTGCTGCCGGACTGGCCAGCACTCAGCAGCTGTTATGGGTGCAGACTCCTAAGTCAGGTTTTCAATCTTGCCGGCCTGTTAAGTTAGGTTACGGTTCATCTACAAGGACTGACATATACAAGTATCAAGTCCTTCCCAGGCCATATTAACAACAGTTAACTATTTTTTACAGTTTGAAGTGGATGTGTTCTTAAGTTATTCCTTACATTTCTTTATCTTAGAAATTCCTAGCCTTTAAATTATATAGCCTTTAAAAATACAAAGTACCGTATACTACTTTCAATTTATTTTTATTAGTGCTTTCAGGCCATGACCATTATAATATTTATTAGAAATCACAAATTAATTTTATCTTGAGTAATTATTTGATAATAATGCTTATTTGATAAAATGTGATTTTACATGTAACTACACATTAAAATTGTAAGTGCCTTAACATATATAATAATGGTCTATATTTATAAAAACTATGTTTTTATAAATATAGAACATTATAAATATAGACCATTTATAAAAACTATGTTGGTGGCTCACGCCTCTAATCCCAGCACTTTGGGAGGCTGAGGTGGGTGTATCACGAAGTTAGGAGTTCGAGACGAGCCTGGCCAATATGATGAAACCCCATCTCTACTAAAAAATACGTAAAATTAGCTGGGCGTGGTGGTGCGCGCCTGTGATCCCAACTCTTCAGGAAGCTGAGGTTGGAGAATCACTTGAACCCGGGAGCGGAGGTTGCAGTGAGCTGAGATCGCACCACTGCCCTCCAGACTGGGTGACAGAGTGAGATTCCGTCTCAAAAAAAAAAGAAACATAGTTATTAATTAGCTGGAAGTGGTGGTGTGCGCCTGTAGTCCCGGCTACTTGGGAGGCTGAGGCAGGAGAATTGCTTGAACTCAGGATGTGGAAGTTGCTGTGAGCCGAGACTGCACCACCGCACTCCAGCCTGGCCACAGAGCCAGACTCCATCTCTAAATAAATAAATAAAACATAGTTATTAAGCAATGTCCAAAAGTACACTGAAAAATGTTGGGCATTTGTTACTTTTTTTCAAAGTAACTTTCATAATTGCAAGAAAATCAGACATGTCTACTTAGCTATTCACTTCTTTTGTGAGCAAATCTTTATTGTGACAATTGCAGGATAAGTAAATAGGAGTAAGACACAACTCACCTTAAAGATGTTCACAATATATTAACAGACAGATCGTAAATGATCTTATAATGTGATAAAATGACAAAACAGAACTACAGGTAAAATTCTACAGGAGCAGCCAGTAGAGAGTGATTGATTCTAACTGAAGTTTGGGGAAGTCTTTATTATAATACTATCATTTGAGGTAGTTTTTGACAAGACAGTTGAGTTTCATACACAGAGAAATTGCGGAGAGGAGCGAATAGCATAGAGATGAAAAATAAGGTGTGTTTTAGTTACTACAAATATTGAATTTGAGTTAATGCCTACTGTAAAATTTGCACATTACCTACCTAATGTACACAAGTGGATGACTGAACAAAAGGGCTAGCTAAAGAAATAAACAGTGGTAGAGGCATTACATTATCTCAGCAGTGGGTGTGTTTATTCCTGGGTGGATTTCATGGATTCTGCTCTAACTCCTACTACTCTAAGCACACGAAGGCATACCTGGCTGATCTGGAAATGCCAGCATGTGCATCTTCTGCACGAGGGCTTTCTCTGACTCTGAAGCCTTCTTGGCTACCTTTTCTAGGCCCGAAATGCCAGAGAGTGATCACTCATCGGTACAGCTACAATCAATGGCTGATGGTAATTGGTGTGCAAATATTACAATTCCCTTGGCCCATGGGTGGGATTACTGAAGGACACATTTGACCCTGGCTTCTAGATTTCCACAGTAGGATTAAGCTCCAGTGGCCCATGGTGATAACACCCTTGAAAATAAAGCCTTTTTTGTCAGTATTTTCCTCCCTATCTCACTTCTATTCTTTACGGATTGTCTACTAAACGAACCACTTTCACTTGAATGGCTATTTTGGTCTGGGTCCCAGATTGAAATGTACATTGGGATAAAAGCACATGAAATAAAATTAAATTACACAAGCAAGAAATAAATTTTATTTATTGTAAGCCAGTGAAACTTTGAGGTCATTTGCTCAGAAGAATAGCAGGGCCGGAAATGACTAAAAAATAATCTATTAGTGAAAAGAAGTCAACGACAAAATTGGAATAAAAAGGATTGTGTTATAAATAACAAAGAAGGCACCTGGAAAATAGGTGCTTGTGTTTACTGTCTGAATTCACCATGGAACACGGCTTGGGCCAAAATGTGGAGATTTAGAAAAGGAAGGAGAATAATACGGGTTGTCTGCAGAAAAACAACACAACCGCATTTTGCATAAATGTGTGGAAAGAAAATTAAAAGGAAGAGAATCTATATACATATGAGTTCAATTTCTTTTTTTTTAAATTCAGTCTCCACAGAGACTGTCAAAAATTGCCAATGCCGACGATACCGAAGTCGTCGCGGTAGGGTATTGGGAAAAGTTTTCAATTGGCAATAATCGCGCCTTGGATAAACCTCTTTGGCTACGATACTGCCACTGGCAAAGCTATGAGTTCGATTTCTTAATAGAACCCGCCACTAAAATCTGTTCATCAACTCAGTCTTTTGTCTCATTAAACATAACCACTGTTCTCCCAGTCACCCAAACGCAATGTGCACCATTGACCTCTCGCATCCCTTACTCTTGCCTCTCAGATCCACAGCCCACCCCTAATCCATGGGCGGATCTTACCGATTCGCCGACCTAGATATTCTCAATCTGTCCCTCCTTTTCACTCCACGGCTGCTCTCTGAGTCGGATCCTGACTTTCTCTTGCTTGATCCATTATAACACCTTGGTTCCTACTTTTCCCTCCTTGAATCCTGTGTACCTCAACTTTATCTTCCACTGTGAGGAGTGATTGAAAACAAATCTGACCAAATCATTCTCCATGTTAGCACCTGTGCACAGCCTAAATGATGGCCCTCAAGGAGAGTGAGAAAGACAATCAGTTGAGATGTAGAAGAAAATATTAGAAACTTTCTATATTTTTATTTCATTCTATAAAATAAAATACATGGAGAGACCACACAACATGTAGAGAAACTATAAACGCGTATAGATACATTAGAGGTGACTGGGAAAGTTTCATTAAATGAGTATATAATCAAAAAAGTCGGGAGGCAACCAGCGAGGAGAGAAAATCTGAGCTCCTTCACTCAGCCTGCACCGCAGCCTCCACCTTCAGCCTCCTACCACCCCACACAAGGAGCTCCGTAACTAGTAACACCAGGTCTTCTCTCACCCAGCATTGTGTACACAGCAGCATTGTGAACAGCCTCAGAAGTTAAGGTAGATTTTCAAACTCAGTCTCCTGCTACACTGCATTCAGTGACCATCACCTTCAGAATCCTCCCCTGAAATTTCATGACAGGCTAAGTGCACCTCAGCGTGTTCTCGGGGCACCCCTTAAATGTTGCCGTCGTTGGCCAGGTGTGGTGGCTCATGCCTGTAATCCCAGAACTTTGGGAGGCCGAGTTGGGTAAATCACGAGGTCGAGAGTTTGAGACAAGCCTGGCCAATATATGGTGAAACCCCACCTCTACTAAAAAATACAAAAATGTGCCAGGCTTGGTGGCCAGCACCTGTAGGCCCGGCTATTTGAGAGGCTGAGGTAAGAGAATCACTTGAACCCAGGAGGGGGAGGTTGCAGTGAGCCGAGATCGTGCCACTGCACTCCAGCCTGGCGATAAAGCAAGAAAAAAGAAAAATGGACCTGTCTTGGAAAAAAAGAAAAGAAAGGAAAAACACTGTTTATGTGTCACCTGTCTTTACGCGTTGTTTCTTCTCTTCACTGGAAGCATTTTGGGTCAAGAATCATGTGTTTTTTAATCATAGGATTTCTAGGATCTATAAAAGTATCTGTTAGAAGATTGGGACCCAGTAATTGTTTGCAGAACTTCTTATACGCTAAAGAAGAAATAGCTAGAAAGCTATTGCAAAAAGCCCAGACGTGAAATATAAGGAGAAAAAACCACAAAATTCTAGGTGCCTTGATTTTTCAGTTTCATGTAAATAAGGGACAAACACTGTTAATTGTAAAGGGTCTAAGGTTTACCTACTTGCAGTCTAATGAGTTACGTATCGTTCTTTCAGGGATGTTGGCAAAAGACACAAGACTCCTAGGTTCATAAAGGGAAATGATGGATACCGAGTTGGAATTATTTCGTAGCTGCAGAACCTGGAGCTTAGGAAATGCCAGTCTTTTATAATGGACCTTGTGTCAGTCTGTTTTCATGCTGCTGATAAAGACGTACCGAGACTGGGCAACATAAGAAGAAAGCTTTAATCGACTCACAGTTCCACATGGCTTCTGCCTCACCGTCATGGCAGAAGGCGAAAGGCTCACTCACAGGGCAGCAGACGAGGAGAGAGCTTGTGCAGGCAGAGACTCCCCTTTATAAAGCCATCACATCTCATGAGACTTATTCACTATCATGAGAAGAGCATGAAAGACTCACCCCCATGATTCAATTACCTACCACCAGGTTTCTCCCACAACTCACGGGAATTGTGGGAACTACGGTTCAAGATGAGATTTGGGTGGGGACACTGCCAAACCATATCAGACCTCAAGTGAGCTTGCTCAAATTTTGCCCTAAAAACAGTCATTATTTTGACTTTCTGAGACACCAGGAAAACCTGCTCTCTACCCGAGACGGAAAAGCTACCTTGACTTCCAAAGCTGTTCACGATGCCAGTATCCTTGAAAAGATCATTTGAAAGAAAAGCTGCCAGAGTCTCTGTTTTATTTTTGTTGGTTTGGTTGGTTTTTGAGACAGTCTTGCTCTGTCATCAGGCTAGAGTGCAGTGGCACAATCTCAGCTCACTGCACCTCTGCCTCCTGGGTTCAAGCAATTCCTATGTCTCAGCCTCCTGAGTAGCTGAGACTACAGGAGCCTGCCACCACACCTAGATAATTTTTGTATTTTTAGTAGAGACGGGGTTTCACCATGTTGGCCAGGATGGTCTCGATCTCTTGACCTCGTGATCCTCCTGCCTTGGCCTCCCAAAGTGCTGGGATTACAGGCGTGAGCCACTGCGCCTGGCCAAGTCTCTGTTTACATAACATGTGAATATATGAAATACTCCTGGGGAATCACCTTTCAAATATAAGGAATTAAAGTATCCTAAAATATACAAGAATGTTCTAGAGCATTTGATTTGACCAAGCCTGTGAGAGGTCTACTTAAAGTGAACTGTCCTTGTTCTTCTGATTTAACTGGACTTTGACTCATTTGTTACATTTAAAAATAATCCTCCCAATGATCCAAAATTAATTAGAAGCTTTGAAAAATGAATTACTTTTATTCTTGGAAACAATTATTTTTACTTCCCTTGAACTCAAGTTATTCAATAACTGTATTATCCGCGAATATGTTTGGATCCTTACGAGCAGAGATCTTTGACTCCCCCACCACGCATAGAAAAGAGGCTTTTCCCTGAAGAGTTTGTATCTGAAATGGACATGTCCTGTTAAGTCAGTGAGTGCCGAAAAATTGAGACCCTTGAAAATCTGTATCTGGATTTTGATGATGATGTCAAAGAACTTGACACTCGTGGAGTGACCATCACCAAAGCATCAAAGTGACCAAGTCCAGCAATACTTCCACAGCCCCTCACACGGCAGACCCTCCTACAGCCCCCAAAGCAGCACCTACACCTGTCACACCAAGCGCACCCGACATTCCTGCTGATTCTAGACGTTTATCTCAGATTCTGATGGAACAATTGCGAAAGGAGAAACAGCTGGACACTGGCGTGGATGGTGGCCCTGAAGGGTGCAGAAATAAAGATGATCGGGGGTTAGAATCACGTGGCGGAAAGGGATCAAATTCTGACAAGTCTTCCATGCAAGACAGTGACCTGAAAACATCTGATGCCTGTTGGAAAATTCTCAGGAAATTGAAACGTCTAATAAAAATGATATGACAATAGATATGGTACATGCTGATGGCGAAAGACCCAATGTTCTAGAAAACCTAGGCAACTCAAAGGAAAAGATTTTACATCAGAAGCAGCTGAAAGTGAAGATACGGTTCTCTGCAACCGTGATACAGATGAGGGGTGTAAAAATAATAGTGATGGAAAGACAGCTGTTGTGGGTTCTGACTTAAGGCCTAGACCAGCAAGTCCAAATTCCTCCTCAGGACAGGCTCCTGCATCAAACCAGACTAATACCGCTCATGGTCCCGAAGGGTCATGTGTTTAAACAAAAAAAACCTATCAAACAAGTATATAAAAAATTTGATCCAGTTGAAGAGATTTTAAAAATGCAGGATGAGTTCTTGAAGCCAGTTTCCAGAAAAGTACCCAAATTGCCCTTAATGAATTTAGAAAATTCTGAACAGCCTTCTGTTTCTGAGCAATTGTCTGTCCCTTCAGACACCTCTAGTTGGCTGAAATCTGATGGCCTTCTGCACTTCAGAAGCCAAAAGGACGATTGCCAAATGAACTTGAGGACTATGTGAAGAATACATCGGATACCTAGCTCCTCAGGAAGGAAATTTTGTTTATAGGCCATTTAGCACGCAAGGCCTGTGGTTACTCACGCGCTGGAGTTTCCAGAGGTAGAGACAAGACCACGTTCTAAAAAACGGACGAAAATCAGAAGACAGTTTCCAGTTCATGTAGCACCAAAACCAGAGTGTCAAGCTTGTTATGGAGGTGAAGTACTGCTAAAAGTGCACTTTGTCACTTATGAGCGGAAAGTTGATCGCATTCCAGCAGCTCACTTTACGTTGGGAATATCGATGCATTTACTTCAAAGCTTTCTCTGCTGGAAGAAAATACCTTGGAAGAATTAAAAGAAAAGCTTTCAGCACTCAAGATTTCCAATTTGTTGAACGTCCTCCAACACATTCTAAGGAAATTCAGCAGCTTGCAGGAGGGCCCGACTTGTCATCTCATGCGGAAGGTTCTCCACTGCTGGGCTGTAAGGCCTCTGATGGAAAAGTCACTAGCACAGCATACAGTCTGTATAAACACATTGCGGCCTTCCTCATGGACCTTCCAGCCTCCCAGATCCCTGGATCGCACTAGATCCCAGCCCGTCATCACCATGTCATCACCAGACACCACACCTGCCGGCACCTGGATCTCAAACTCTCCAGCCTCCAGAACGGTGAGGAATACATTTCTGTTGTTCATAAGCCACCAATCTGTGGTATTTTGTTACAGCAGCTAGAATGGACTAAGACAGATGGTTTTCATGGGCAGAAAAATCACCAGGAATAACGATGATGAGAAAAACAGCAAGCCAGATGCAAGACCCCCTCATGATGAAGAGGGTGGGAAATGACCAGGGAGAGTGACAGAAGGCTCCCAGCATGAGCTCTGATGAGCTGGAGCTTTCAGCAGGACCCAGGGCAAACGGGCTTGAGGCGGCCCAGCAGTGTGCAGGGTATGAAAGGGAAAAACAGCCATCAGGTGACACTGTAGTCCTTTCCTATGGCTTCTGTAGCAAAATACCACCAACTCAATGGTTTCAATCAGCAAACATTTATTC